AGAAGCCCCACTCAATGGATTTATTATGAGTGTAAAAATCAGGTTAGCTGTAGAGCTGTTCAGTTATTAGATCTTTATAGGTAAGTATCGCGGATCTTTAGAAAGGTAAGAGTTTGAGGTGGGGAGCTGTCCGTGTCCTAAGGCTCCCAGAACTTGTCCGGACCCTCAGAGACAATTATGAGCCAACGTAAAAATCCGAACACTTTGTTTGATTGCAAACAATGAATGAAGCCAAACTAGATTATTTACTGTATTAAGAAAACAGAGCTTCCAGTGAGTTTGGTTAACTCTGTGATGGGATTTACTGTCACGAAGTAGCGATAAACCACAGCTGAGAATTCCCTTCAACTTGCTCCAGGTCCTATAGGCCCTTCCGAGCTGGGCGGTCAAACAGATTTGACCCCCGCGAGCGTCTCTGGGACGCGCGTTTAGCACGCAGGCAATTGCTGTGACAGTGGCCGTGTGACCCTCCGTGTTTGCTTACAAGCCAGTGTAGTTAATGTGTGTCTGACGCCTGGCATGGGGGTGTGGAGACTATTCCATGTAGCGGACTCACACCTTTACCTATTAAATCGCATTCACTATTTCTCAAGGGAAATACTTCATTATGCCAGACACCACCTTCTTAATAGAACTGAGAGGAGTCAAAGCTGCAAGGCCACCAAGCGTTACGGAATCGCTAATATTCTCTCCTCAACGATTAGGGTAACATTTTCTTCCCCTGGCAACGGGTTTGTGAACATGCCATCGATTCTTTCCTAGAGGGGCGAAGTGACAAATGCTAATGGAAACGTCACTGGCTCTGGGGGAAGCGAGGGGTGTGGCCTTGGGTCAGGAACTCCAGGGTTGGGGAGGAGGAACGTGGGTCCGCTGGCGGGTTTGCTCCTAGGATTCAGGCAAGGGGTTTTGGGGTTTATACTTTCTTTAGTTCCCTTTTCAAAGCGGGAGCTCTCTCCCCGGTTGACCTCATCGTTGTCCAGCTTATGAAATACAGATGCCAGTTTTTTAAAAGCATCAAAATTGCTTAAGGGCCTGCTTCCGAAGGCCACCAGCAGTGCACTTAACCCGCCTAGGGCAGCAAATCGGTCTCATTCCTTCCCGTTTTCCCGGGAGAAGAGCACATGGACTCAAGTTACAGAGCCGAGCATGGTTCAGGGGTGCAGCCGGCCCGTCTCACTTGTTCACATTTTTTACCAGTTCTTTCAGGACTCAAAATAGCTATTGATGCTTGGCACCCACATTTTCCAGAAGGGCCACATTTCTTTTGTATTTAAGAGCATTAGGGATTTTTCAAGTAGGCAGAGCATGTATGACACCTTTGCCGGGTGCAGGGCATGGGGACAAAGTCACCCCGCGTGTGTCTCACGGCACCTACTCTAGAGGACAGAGGCACGAGGGAGAGAAATCATGTTCAAACCGCTTCACGTTGTAAACGACCAAAGTGAGGTCGCAGGAACAAAGCAGCATCGTAAATTAACAACTCTAAACGCTCAAGCTGAAGAAGAAGACACGGAGACTGTACCAGAGAGTCCGAAAGATAACAGAGGCCGCTTGTACTCTGAAGCGTAAGGAACTCGGGGTTTGAGATAACACATCGAAACTCAAAACCTGCCGCGTTGTTCAAATCACCCAAGTCCTTGAGTAATTATTCTAGTAACCTGTGTACTGCGTGGTGTCCTGCAGGTGTTATGCTCAGGTAAGTCTGTCACTGGCAACATACCCACCCTTTTAAAGTGGAGCAGCATCCTCGAGGGAATCACTCTTTTACAGACGGGTCGCCAAGGCCCAGGGCAGGCTATCCATCAACATGGTGCGTGAAGGAGTTTTCAAGGCTCCTTCACTCACCGTAATAAACTCTATCTCAGGCTTTTAGGTCTGATTCAAAATCCACTTGCGTAGGAAGGTTCTATCCCTACATTTTTATAGTAGCCTCGGGCTATTATAAAATAGGTTTGTATGTGTAAATTACAGGCGATTATTTGTCTTCCCCGTATCCAATATACCACAGAAATGTCTTTGGGGTCTGAAGCTGGACAGCCGTAAGCTAAGGAGTTACAGAGAAAAAGATTAAAACACACACAACTCAACCTGTACTATATAGAAGAGGTAAAACACAGGCCTAGCTAGAAAAACCGTGTTCTGTTTAAATTCCTTTTTTCCCACACATACAGAATATCTGTAATTAATTTTATGATTACCAAGTATAAGCCTCTTGGAAACCTTATGATGTAAAGATAGAAAGACAGAGTCAAATCTGTACTCGTTAATAAAACAGAATGTTTGATTATATCGATAAAATAAAATATTCATGATGAGTTTGTTTTTGTTGAATTTATTAATAATCTTTATATATTTATATTTGTATGGCTTTGAGCAAAGACAAAAGAAGTTCTCTACCTCGTCCCTGATCATACAGTTGTTGTAAGAATCAGCTAGTCTACTATTTTCCCAGCAGCAGAGAGACCAGTCTTTTCAATAATACATTTCTTTCTGTACAGGTTAAAACTCCAAACTCATGGGCTTAGCTATGTACAGAGAAAAGAGGTCACTTTTCAACTAGCAATTGGCTTTTATATTACAGGAATGTGAGTCAGTATTTTTCTTAACCTAAGTATATATATTCATACATATATGTATATAATTTACCCTGTACCACTTTGTTAGTTTCACATAGAAACCTTAGCTTTTTGTCCATTCGGTTACAAAGGGAATAAAAATGTTATGGTTGCACTGAAAGACCATGCAATTCAGTCCTGCTCACCTCCCCCAATAGTCCTCGAAATAAAAAACCAAGAATTTATATATCATATAAAAATATTTCACTACTAAACCCACTCATCCTGGCAAATGTAAACCTTTAAGAATTTAAAGGATCGATACATGATCTGAATACGTTGAAGTTAAATCTCAATCTTTTAATAAAATAAAGGAGTTTTGTACTGATATGTAAATGGTCTTGCAGCTTTTCCCGCAGGCTCTAGGTAGACTGAACAATCCCACTCATTCTTTTCACCACCCCGGACGCCATCCTGTGCTACCAGCAGGTTAGCGACACCATTACATTGACTAGCATTGCGGATCCACTGAGGCTGGGATCTGCTAGAAATTAAACATAAGGACTCATTTTGGTATTACAGGTATTTTTTTCCGTAAAAGGCATAATGGGCAGCGTGGATCCATTTCAGAGTTTTTGCTTCTGTTTTGTTTTCTGTCCTTGAGTCTCTCCGGAGGCCCTCCCCATTTAACGTGCGACCTTGCTTAAGTTCTTCTTAAATGTGTCACCAGCGTCAAAGATGCCGAAGACCTCCGCTCCAGGACCTTTCTCTTCACTTGGGTTATTTACAGAAGCCGGTTATCGGGAATCTTCCGACGGTGTTCCAGTCACCCACCATTCGTGGGCTGCGTTAGGCACGAATCGTTATGAAGGGCTCCTCCCAGAGGAGGAGGGTGCTCCCGGATCGTGGAAAGAGTCAAGGAAACAGACAAGAAAACCGACAAACAGCGCTCACATCCACTGCGACCCTGCTTCCCACCACGACTAGGCGTTTCCAGCACATTTCACATAGCAAAGCCCCGTCTAAGGGCTGGGTTTTCACCACGTGCCGTAAGATTTCCTGACCACGAGTTACAATCCACACAGAGCAAAGTGCGCGCTCCCAAACGGACATGATGCTGTACGTATTTATTTCTTTAAACCAACACCACGGTAAACTGCCAACCACAGTGAAGACAGAACACACCGGCAACTCCAAACCAAGCTGTGACTTACAGATCATTATTTAAATAATAACAATAATAATAACAATAGTAATAATGTTAACAGAAAGTGAAAACCTCACTTCTAGGCTTAAGTTAGAGATCCAAGTCAGCCTTATAGGAATTTTAAGATAGGCAGTTAATAAAATTGTTAGGCTTTTCTAGAAATGAGAAAAGCTGTAAGTTTCCCTACACTGACTGTGTTCAACCTTTTTTTTTTTTTTTCTCCCCCAAAAAGCATGCAGGGACTATTTTCCGATGCTTGATTATGGCAAGAAGGAAGAAAAGCAATGTTTTTTGGTGTAATACAAGCAATCTGTAGACTTGAGCATACAATTTTGCATAAAACATTGCAGGTTAAAATAACATCGTAGGGTTCAAGCCATTGCATTGCAGTTGAAGAGCTGTCACAATCAGGTTTTGCAAAATTTAAAACTCTAAGTTTTGAAGTGAAGCAATAAAACTAAATTCTTAAACGATGACTCTGACCTTCATACAGACAGAAGAGCTATTTTTTTGTTTGGGTTGAGAAAGTTATTTACAACTAACGTTGATCGAGTCTTGGTAAAAGTGCAGCAACGCGTGAGGGGACATCTCCCCTCCTCTCTGAGATAATGACCATGCTCGAGGTTAGGGATCTCCGAACGGTGGCCGCTAGTCTCCTACGGTGGCCAAGCGCATGTAATGATACCGCTCTTTAACCTAAGTCAACATGGAAAGCACCAAAATACAATTTAGATCTACCAAGTGGGATCTGCTATTTAACCCTCCATCAGTAACGATTAACAACTGAGATGCAGAGGCTCGGCTAACGGAGGTTTTCACTGGTGCCACTCAGGGGCTCGCCTGGGCTGTCCTTTTAAAAACCAGAGTTCTGTTTGCATCGAATCCAAGAACTCTTCCTAAAAGAGAGAAATACATGTATCAAAGGAATGAAGTCAAAGCAGGTTAAAAATGAATCCTCTTACGCCAACATTTTCAATCGTTTAATGATTTAAAGGAAGGAAGACATAGAACACTGAATGCGCGACACGTCTTTCGGCTCTCTCGGGGCTTTAATGGATATGTTTAATAGTATATGTATATATATACTTATATATATATATTTTTTTACATTCTGCATGGAGGCCAGAGCTGTCTAAAATATCTCTTCATAGGCTATAGGGCTGTATCGGGAGAGAGAATAAAATAAGATCTGAGAACGTCCTCGGTCTCTCGGAGTCTGCTTGGACAATCAGCAGGGATCATAAATTTGAAGAAAACCGTGGCTTCTCGGCCTCTGGGTCTGTGTTTAAGACTGAGGAAGGCTCCCTCTGCAGCGGGGCGGCTGGTGGCGGCGGGCCCGGCGGGGCTCCTCGGTTGGGGGGGATGGCCCCCGACGACATCTGGCGGAACAGGGCGACTCTCTGGGGCACGCTGCCCCTGCCCCCGGGGCCGGCGGGC